CTAATTATAGATAATGATTAATCTGAGTGGCAGCCTGCGAGAGGAGTTCAGAGAGTTTGGATCATTAGCAAGTCAAGCAGACTAGTCCTGCATCCCCAAACTGCCTTCCCACGCCGGCATCACTGAATCAGCCAAAAAACTTGGTCAAAAACAACCTAGGAGGAACAATCAAGGGGAAGTAAAATGGTCCAACCATATTGGTGTGGATTTAGGAACTTCCTAAACCCACACAAGTCGCTCCAGAGAAGGATTCTGCACAGGAACTCCTCAAGAATTCCTCAGCAGTTGTTATTTTTCACAGGTTCAGAGCAGGGAATACAAAGCAAAGGCACATGAAGTTTCCCTGGCAGCAAGACTTGATGTCTTCATCGATGTAGCCAAGATACAGGAGGCTTTAAATGCTCCATTTGGGAAAAATGCTGTAATTAGAAGCTTTAATTCAGCAAACTGTCCCTGTGAAACCAACTGGGCAGCAAACAGGCGTCGCACTTGGCTGCTGGAGCAAACCCCTCAGAACAGCTCCAAAGGATGGCACAGCACCCACCCACACACCAGCACCACCGGGGACACCAAGGGGACACCCGAGATTTCAGCAGCTCAACTCTGTAAACCAAAAATCCTCCCAGGCAACGTGACAGGCTGGGGTTTAAAGCTAAAGAGCGAGCGGCAGGAAATCCAAATGGAACAAAAAGCTTCAACCTGGAACGAAATCAATCCACGCAAAGAGGCGGCTTGGGCACCAGGGGACAGCTTTCCTAGTTCAGATCATTTTAGCAGATAAGCAAAATGAAGTTTCTACAAAGCTACCCCAGAGCAGCCACAGCTAAATCAGGTGGGCTGTGCAGCTACAAAGGTGACAACACAAGGAGAGAGTAACAGTTCACCTGCAAGGGCAGAAAGGAGACTTCTGGTGTGGACCTGCTGAGCTGGGATGAGCACAAAGAGACAGCAGAAAGCAAGACCCGTCACTCTCAGAATGCCAGAGACCTCTACAGAATATAGACAGACAAATATAGATACATGCTCTTTATCAGTGAACAGGCAGCAGCCTGACACCTGCCTGGCTCCTGTCATGGAGCTAAATTCATATCAAAACAGAACTGCCAGTTTTTACCCCAGACTGTCTCCAAGGAATGCTCCCAGATGAGCAATTCAAGCTGACACTGCCACTATTTCAGAGTGCTGGTTTTGAAGAGTATCATGGAGGCTTTTCTCCATTTAAGAAACATTTCACCACGTGTTCTGCACTGTATTTTTGTACTCCTGACTCACAACCAAATTAATTCAGTTGTCATCAAGCCCAGCAATGAAAAGAAGCACAAAATCCTCCAGCATCCCTTTCCCCAAGCAGCTGCTGAAGGTCTGCCCTGCCTTAAAGCTTCACAAAGTTTCAACTCCTTCACATGCTGCTCAGAATAATCTCCTTGGGTGTTTCTGTTTATTGTTTCAGCCTAAAACAGATCAAATGGTCTCAAAATAAACCTGGTTGTTCCCATCTAAAATAATTGTTGAAGAAAACCACTTGTTCAGTCATGGCAGACTTTGCATCAACACGTAAAAATAATATACTGACATGGTTACAAGTTGGGTGTCAAACTCCAACAGCCTTTTTGAGCAGAGCTAAGGCATTCCAGAAAGGATTACAGTGAATTAGCTGAATTACTGAGAGGTAATTACATTTTTGGGGGGAGAGGTTGTTTGGCTTTAGGGTCTTTCAGGGTTTTCAACAACGTCAAGTAGATAAATACATCATTTACTTTCTGCACTGTTACCTGCTGTGGTCCTACCCCAGGACCCAGGTCTCTCTTAGAGCTGGAAGAGTTTATATTCATATCTGACAGGGAGCTGGAGCTCTGCGATCTGCTTCAGGCTACATGTCAGCAGCTGGAGCTGAGAGGAAATCAGCTGATGAACTTTATGTCGGGAGGAAAAACAGCTTTGGCATATAACCTTCACAGACAATTCCTGTCTCAGGGGGGTTGGCACTTTAAAGACGTATTATTTTATAAAGCTCAGCCATCTCTAATATCCAGGATTGTTTCTGTGTCCTGAAGTACAGCCAACATCTGCTGCACAACACTAAGGGTGAGAGAACACTTGTGTTCCAAGTGACAAAAATAAACATGATCCAAATCACAGAATCCCTGAATGGTCTGGGTGGGAAGGGACCTTAAAGCTCCTCTCGTTCCACCCCCCTGCCATAGACAGGAACACCTTCCTGGAGGATAAAAACACCAACATTCATGCTTGTATTCTCACCAGCCAAGTGAGACAAGCAGCACAAGGGAAGCTACAGAAGATGACACCGCTTTGGACGGAGCCTCGGGGTGTCTGACACGCTCCTGGCTGAGCCCACAGCCCGTCTGCACAAACCCACCGCGCCAGACAGCGCAGGGAGCCAGGCACGGCTCGGCACCACTGTTGGAGCTTCCTTCCTTCCATCCTCCAGGAGCACAGCCCCCAGCCTGGGCTCACTTCCCGAGCCCAACATTCCCAGCACAACATCCCAGGCCATCCTCCCACCGCCACCGCAGTGCCCGCAGCCAGCGGCTCTGCTGGGGGAAGGATTCCCAGGCTCTGGCAGGGAGCAGCAGGAGCAGGTTACACAGCCGAGGGAGGAGGGTTTGGGGTGTTAGGCTGGAAGGTCGTGATTTGGGCTGCTATAGCAGCCGGAGCCGCTGCAGCAGGAGCGGAGGGATGGAGAGAGAGAAGGACGGGAGACCCAGGGCGTTCCATCATCCCGGGGCCCTGCAGCGGACCCTGCCGCGGCTCTGTAGGATCAAAACCCGAGTTTGGCTTTAAAAGAGGAAAAAAAGCCCAAACTAAGCAACACGAGACGATCTGCGCTGTGCAAGCGCGGTGCGTCCCCGCTCCCTGCGGCCCCTGCCCGGCCCCCCAGCCCCTGTACCTGTAGTAGCTGAGCAGCCCATTGCTGAGCACGAACCAGCGGCGCTGGTAGCCCTTCAGGTAGTTGGTCCACTTGAAGAGCCACCCCTTGTAGGTGTCGGAGCCCGGGGGGGCGGCGGGCGGGCCCCCCGCCGGGCCCCCGCCGCCGCGGCCACCGGGATCGGCGCTCATGGCCGGCAGCTCGTGGCAGGCCAGGCAGGGGACAGCGCTGAGGAGCGAGACCAGCCCGCGGGTGCCGCCGGCGCAAAGCGCGGCTGCCTTCCCCATAGACCCCGCGGGGCCCGGCCGAGGCTCCGCCGCTCCCGGGGCGGCCCCGGCCCGTCCGCACCGACCGGGGGCGGCGCCGCCGCCACGTGACCGCCAGGGGAGGGGAGGGGAGGGGGTGAGGGAGGGGGCGGGGGCGGCGCGCGCCCCCCGGCGGCGGGGCGGGAGCGGGGCGGGAACAGCGCGGGAACAGCGCGCGCCGCCCCCGCCCTCATCCCCTCCCCCGCCATTTTGGCCCCCTGCCGCCATTTCGTGCCGGGGGCGGGGGGAGGTTGGAAATTGTTCCGTGTAAATCTTCCCATTAAAAAAGTCCTGCTGGGTGCCGCCGGCCTTGCTTGGAGGAGGAGCCCCATTCTGCTGTCCGCTCACCTGCTCCCTCCAGCAGCACACGGGCCTGGGTTTTATGCCTGAGGAGGTACCTGCCCACAGGGCAGTGTGGAGGCCTGTGGCAGCTGCTGCCTGCCCAGGTGTCCCCATGTCTGCTGTGTCCCCATTCCCCTTTCTCTTCCCAGCTTTTTTCCCCCTTCTTTGCTCCCTTTTACCTTTCCCCTTCCTCTGTCCTCTCCCCTTCATTCCCACCCCTCCCATCATAGATCACATCTCACTCATCTGCCTGATCCACTCTCATCCCCCTGATCCCATTATCCTCACCCATCACCTTCACACACAGTCCCAGCCATGCCAGAGTCTCAGGAGGGTCCCCCAGCCCTGGGAATTCTCTGGATAGGGCACTGGGTTCCGAGGGTGAAGGACACTCCATGTGCTGCTCTGGGCTGAGCTCCTGCTCCTCTGGAGCTGGGTGAGTGATCCCTTCCTGGAGTGTCCTTCAGCCAGGAGCACTAGGGACCTTACAGCCTGTGGGGCCACTCCTGGGTCTGCAACAGCCTGAGAGTGCTTTGAACTCCAAAGGCTGCTTTTCAGAGAGCCATGGAATGGGTTGGGGTAGAAGGGACCTTAAAGCCCATCCAGTTCCACCCCCTGCTATGGGCAGGGACACCTCCCACTATCCCAGGGTGCTCCAAGCCCTGTCCAGCCTGGCCTTGGACACTGCCAGGGATCCAGGGGCAGCCACAGCTGCTCTGGGCACCCTGTGCCAGGGCCTACCCACCCTGCCAGGGAACAATTCCTTCCCAATATCCCATCCAGCCCTGCCCTCTGGCAGTGGGAAGCCATTCCCCTTTGTCCCAAGTTCCTCTCCCACTCTCCTGAAGTCCCTTTAGGCACTGGAAGGGGCTTTAAGGTCTCCCTGGAGGCTGTTGGGGTTTGGGGACTGAAGCTTATCTGGACAGGGAATGTCCTTGATGTAACTACACCCCAAACCATCCACATGGGTACCAACTTCTCAAAGTCTCATGGATCCCAGTATGTCTTGTGGCTGCCAAGAAGGGAACACGCCTTCCTTGGCCATGTCTGAGGAGAGGGGACTCACCAGTGCCCTACTCTCTCCTGGGAAGGGAGGCTGCAAGGAAGGGCCCTAAAGTCAGGAGCGGACTGTCAAATCCACACAAGCAGGACCTGACAGGATGAGGGGAAATGGCCTTAAGTTGTGCCAGGGGATGTTGATATTAAATATTAACAAAACGTTTTTCATGGAAAGGGTCCTAAAGCCCTGGGACAGACTACCAAGGGAAGTGGTAGAGTCACCATCTCTGGAAGTGTTCATAAAACATGTGGATGTGGCACTTGAGGACATAGGTTAGTGGTGAACATGGTGGTACTGGCTTGACTTGATAATCTAAAGTCTTTTCCAACCTTAACAATTCAATGCTTTCATCTGGAAGAGCTCAGACACAGCAGCTTTGCCGGGGAGAGAAAAGGGATGTGGGGCTTTATTTCTTGCCCTTGCCTTTGCCCTTGCCCTTCTTCAGTTTTGACTTGTAGATGGAGCGCACCAAGTAGCCTTTCCAGAAGGCCTGGATGCAGGTGGCAGCATCGTTCCTCCTGGCCTCTTCCTGTGCAGCTTCCTCCTCCTTCTCCTTAAGCATCCTGCGCTCCTCCTCAATCTCAGTGTACTCCTGGAGCAGCAGCGCGTGTTTCTCCATCAGCAGGGACAACTGTTCCTTCTCCTCCTTGTAGGCAGCCTGGAGCTCCTCATAGGCAGCCTGGCAGGACAGCAGGGATCAGGAGCACGTCAGCAGCTCCTCCTCACATCCCCACGGGAGGGTCCTGAAACCCAGTGCAAAGTCATGGAACCTCAACTGCTTGGAGCCTTTCCAAAGGGATTCAAAAGGAAGGCATGTGTCCAGTACTCAGGGAATTTCATGAGATGCTGGGTCCTTTGATGCTCCCCTGAAAAATGCTCCCACAATGGAAGATTTGGAGAACCAGCAGTGTGGAGGTGGGTCTGCCCTGAAAAATTCTGCCCCAAACATGGGGCTCCTGCCTCTCCACAGACAGGAAAACAAAATAATCCCATTATTAAACATCTGACAGGGGCATCATTCCTTACAATTAGCAGCAGCTTTCAGGCCCCTCCCTGCATTTTGCTCTGTAAGGAATCCAGCAGCTTTTATCCAACCCCATTAATATAGCAAGAGCAGGAAAGCCACCAGGGCCTTTCCAGAGGCAAGTTTTGGGGGTGCTCATGTGACCCTCAGCCTGTTATAGCTCAGCTGGATGCAAGCTGTTGAGTTTCCTAACACCCACCACAAACCCCAAGGATTCAGCAGGAACAGGAGCAGGATTTGGACACCAGGTAGGGCCATGAGGATTGAGGATTGCAGCAAAACTGAAAAACCTGGCATCAGGTGGATATCCCAGACAGATCATGGAGAGCCATTTGCCCCCAGATACTGTGGGATACAGCAATGGATGTAACTTTTCCTAAAGCCAAAGCAGCAGAGGACTCCGGGACACAAGGCAGGACAAAGATCCCTTTCCTGTAGTTCACCTGAATGCAGAACTGCCTCTCACTTCCACGGCCTCCTGGGTAAGAGCCATGTGTCCCTTTGGACACGAATCTACCTGAGCAAATCCCCTCATGGCAGAGCCAAGCACTTTAAACCAATACCTGTTTTTCTGACATGTCTGTGTCGTATTTCTGGACCCATTTCTGAATTTCCATCTCCACTTTGCACTTTTCCTGAAACACAAAACAAGATCAGATCCTTGCAGACATCTGAGGCCTGGTAAAAAGTATCCTGAGTGAGAAAACAGGTAAACTTTGAGACACAGCATCATTATACCTTATTATTATATCAGGGAGGAGTATTTCACCTCCTCCTTGTGACAAGCTTCCCTCAGCTGACATATATATGATTTGCCCTGGTTTGAAGATTCTCCTGGGACATTCCCAAAGGGCTTTATTTGGTTTACAGCATGGAGCTGGGGGGCTGAACAGCACCTGGAAGTTGCTTTCTGCAGGAGGAAATGAACATATCTGATGGAATGTGGCAAGTCATCGACAAACTGAGGCAACCAGCCTAAAACTGAAGCAAGAGAGAACTGCAAAACATGAATGTGGGACAGAAAGTACTCAGAAGATGGTGCCTTTTAAAATAGAGAGACCTTTCTGGCTGTAAAACAATTTAGCAGTGGCTGTACTGCTGTACAACCTGGGGCAATTTACCTGCAGCTCTGGATGTGTGCTCTGTGGAATCATTCCTGCTCCATTTCCTGTGTGGCACTGCCCCAGGATGTCCCAAGGGCTCCCAGGCCATCACGAGGTTCCACCTGAGTTATTTAGACCACAAGTACAACTTGTACTTGCTGAGGAAAGGAGGCCTCTGTGGTCAGTAAATGCATCTGCTGAGATGCTGGAATGAGCTGAGTTCTCCACAAGCAGTCCTGCTGTGGCAGGAACTACCTGACACAGCCACTCTGCCAAAGATTTTGGGGGTTGTACTGCAGCTCTAACTTGAGTTTGATGTTTTGTCAGTGCCCAGCCCTTCATGCTGCACCACCCAATGCAAGTGTGACAGATGCCCCATCACCATGTGGTGTTCCTGCCCATGGGAGGCTGTGCTGGTTTGGAGAGAATACCCAGGATGAGCCAAATGAGAAGGAAAATGCCTTTTTTGCAGTTCTCAATTCTCTGTGTCACCAGTGTGTTCTGCTCAGGGCAGGCTGTTGCTACAGGGGCCTGAGCCTGCCTGCTGGTCCTGTTCCTCCTCCTGTATCTGCTCAGCCCTGGGGACAAGGACTTTGGGGTGCTGGTGGGTGAGGGCTGGACTTGCCCCAACCCCAAAATCCCCCATGCCCTGGGCTGAGACCCCAGTGTGAGCAGCAGGGGAGGGGGGGGTGACAGGGGGATTCTGCCCCTCTGCCCCACCTGCAGAGCTGCCTCCAGCCCTGGGGCCCAGCACAGGAAGGACCTGGAGCTGCTGGAGAGAGTCCAGAGGAGGCCACAAAGATACTCCAAGGGCTGGAGCCAGGCTGGGAGAGCTGGGGGTGCTCACCTGGAGAAGAGAAGGATCCAGGGAGAGCTCAGAGCCCCTTCCAGGACCTAAAGGGGCTCCAGGAGACAGACTGGGGACAAGGGCTGGAGGGCCAGGACATAGGGAATGGCTTCCCACTGCCAGAGGGCAGGGCTGGATGGGATATTGGGAAGGAATTGTTCCCTGGCAGGGTGGGCAGGCCCTGGCACAGGGTGCCCAGAGCAGCTGTGGCTGCCCCTGGATCCCTGGAAGTGTCCAAGGCCAGGCTGGACAGGGCTTGGAGCACCCTGGGATAGTGGGAGGTGTCCCTGCCCATGGCAGGGGGATTGGACTGGATGGGCTTTAAGGTCCCTTCCACCCAAACTATTCCGGGATGATTTTATGAAATCACATTTCCCCCTCATTCAGCCCAGCCTGACTCCTTGGCTTGTCTGTTCTGCCAAGCTGGGCAGAGCAGGACCTGCCGAGCCTTCAGCATCAGCCCCATTCCACCTTGAACACTAAATCTCTTCTATAAGATGCCTTCTACCAAACCACTGTTGTTTGCCCTGCTCCCCCTAGAGCACATCCCTGGTTTCTCACTCTCCCACACCTGTCCTGCTCCAGCCTTGCTGCCCTGAGCTCTGCCCAGTGTCACAGCTCAGTGTGAAGGTGTTCCCAGAGCCGAGGCAGCCAGCAGGAGCAGGACCTGTGACAGGCTGTCCCTGCTGTCGCTGCAGGGCTGCTTTCCACTGCAATCAGCAGAGCATGAGGACAGGGCGGGTGCTCTCTGACAAACACCATGTGCATCCTGCCAGGAACGAGCAGGGACCAAGGAACTAATTGCAGCAGCCAGAACTGACAGCTCTGCAAACAGGCTTAAACCTCCTGTCCCTGAGCTCTCCTCCCCTTTACCTTCCTGAGAACCAGCTCTGAGGCTCGATGCTTCAGCACCAGTGCATTGAAGTGTGCTCCCAGCCGCTGAATGTCCTGCTCCAGCCTGGCACACCTGTCCTGGGAGGCTTTCTCATCCTCTTTTTGCTGCTTTTCTCCTTCCTTCATGATCTGCTTGATGTCAGCCTTGCAGCTCTTGGCCAGATTTTCCATGCTGGTTTTGAGGTTTTCAATCGTTTTGTCCTTCCTGTTAACCTAGACCAGAAAACAAGAGGAATATCTGTGGAAATGTCCCTGAGGCATAAGGTGGGCAGGAGAAAAAAAACATTGCAAAGATGGAGGAGATCCAAGAAGGGACCCTCAGGGGCTGGCTCAGGTAGCACCAAGGACCTGCCACTGCCGGCCAAGGGAAGAGTTAGATTTACACAGGAGCTTTGGAAACCTTCCCCTGGCTCCTCCGGGACCCTGTTAGTAAAAGCACAGAGTGAACAAACCATCCCAAGCCCCACTGGCACTGCCACCTGAGGAGCAGTCAAAACAGATTCCCTGGAGTAGCCCCATGGCTCCCTCAAGGGCTGGATGAGTCTCCAAGCAACTGTCTGGGGGACACAGCTCAGAGAGGGAAATCCCCAGCAGGGATCAGTGAAACAGATTTATTCACCATGTGTCGGACAAGCTGCCAAATTGCACATAAAAATCTTGATTCCCAGAACTCCAAGGAGCAGAGGGAAAGGGGAAAGCAGGCCCTTGGCTCTGCCATCAGTGAGCACAGGGCAAAACCTTCTCAGCCAACCCCTCTTGCACGGAGGAGAAAGAGAAGCACAGGTAGAAAACAAAGGATTTTTGTCAGGAGCACTGGGCTTGGCACACAGGCTGGAAAGTGCCTGGGAAGTGCCAGTCAATTACCTGCACCTCAGCTGCAGATAAAATTAAAGATTCATGTAATTTGTATAATCACTGATTAATCACAAATGCTCCAAGGCAGCTGTTAGAGTTGGGACTCACTGAAATGTTGGTTTTAAGCAAGAGTGAAGACAGAGCACATATTAAAAATGGATTTTAATCAGAGCAATCTCTCCCTGTAATGATTTTTCATTCTTTCAGCAGCAGGGAATGATGCAGCTGGCACTGTCACCCTGCCAGGATACCACCACAGCAGTTTGTGCCTGTCCTGCCACTCCTCTGGAACTCAGGGACTTAAGTTGTTTAAGTTAGCTGGTGACAACAGGTTCAAAACATGCCAAATTCGGGTTTAAAAAAATATCAAGCATGCAATAAGCATTTTTCATTATATTTTACAATAAAAATATTTTTAAGTTTTAGATCTGGTTTAGAAAGGATTTCTGGAACTTGCTCTTTAGGAACTGCAATAAAGGGATCAGTTTATAGTTACCAGGGTTTTGCTCCAGTAATACTTGGTTGGAAAACACATTCCCACAAGATCATACCTCCTCATCTCGAGTCTGGATGGCTAATGCGAGCTCTTCCTGTAGAGCTGAGATAATTTCTGTGTTTTTCTCAACCTCAAGGGAAATGTCTTCCATGAATCGAATCTTTTCCTTCTCTTCATCAGGACTGGTCAGGAGCCTCTCAAGCGTGAAATCCCGGAATTCCACAAAGGCTTTGACAAACACATCAGCTGGTGACTCTCTCACCCGAACTTCGTATTTCAGTCCGTGGTAAAGCAAGGGGTTGGCCAGGAAGAGCCTCAAGATGTTTCTCAGGGAACATTTCAGGCGCTGCTCCACAGCTCTCCTGCTCTCCTCATCTCCAGGGCTGGAGAGCAGGTGCTGTACTTCCATTGAAAGCTTCTGATGCTCCACAAGGCTGCTTGTGATCTCAGGTCCCAGCATCCTAGCATACCTCTCCAGGGAGCCAATAATCCATAGGATCAGCCTGGTGATCTCCAGCTTAACAATGGTCTCATCCAAGACAGTCAGGATTCTTTCTGTCTCCATGCTATCAGGCTTTAACTGGCCTGGATCTAACACCTTCGTGGCACCGAATGGGATCCCTGCCTTGCTCGGAGTTGCCATGCCCTTCACCAAGGTTCTTTTCTTCATGAGGTTGCTTGAATCCCCTGTTGCCATGGATTCAGTTAAACACCAGTGGCCTGGGTGGTTTGAGGTCTAGAAAGGACAGGGCAGCTCTTACACAAGATGAGACTCTGGAAGAAAATCGAGGTCTCTGTGCTGGTGTTGTCACGTAATCGCCCTTCCTGGATTTTCTCTCTAAAAGGAAAATATGGTGACAGCATTAGAGAAACAATGTAATTTGGAAAAACTAGACTGGAGACCGAGATTACCCCGGAGTTCTCTCCCAGTCTGGGCAGGGGGTCAGAACATGAGGTTGTGGATTAGAGGTGATCTCTGTTCCGGAGAAGTTGTCAAACACCCATGGGAAGGGGAGATGGATTCCTGGCTTCGAAGGGTGGTGGGGAGAAAAGCAAGTGAGGTAGAGCAGCACAAGGTGCAGCTCTGCAGTCCCCAAGGGGTGTGGAGAAGGGCTTAGAGGGCCCTGGGGCCACCCTGGAAGGGTAGGGTTCCCAGTGGGAAACCTCTATGGAAAAACCTCTGCCCTTCCAGGCCTGTTCCTGTCAGGGAGGAGGTGGGAGAGAGGGATCTGGCAGGGACCGAGGAAGAAGAGGAGAGAGGGAGGGGATGGGGACAGCTGTAGCGGGCGGGCCGACAGGGCTTGAAGGGTCCCCTCGGGTTTGGGACGGGGGGTGATTCCAGGTAGGAAGAACCTCCGTGAGAGGGACGGGCGGCTCGGGGACAGTGCGGGAGGATCCAGGGGGTCTGTGGGACCCCGGGGTGGGACGGGGTGTCTCAGGAGTCGGTTACCGGGGGATGCCGGCCCCAGGCGGCCTCCACCCCCTGCAGCGCACTCAGTTCTGATCCCGGTCCCGGTCCCGGTCCCGATCCCGATCCCGATCCCGATCCCGATCCCGGTCCCGATCCCGATCCCGGCCCAGCCGTCAGCGCCTCCCGTTGCCAGGCGACTCGAGAGGGGGCGGGGCTTTCCCGTAATTTATAGTGAGCTGAGCTGGCCCCGCCCCTATGGCTTGATTGGCAGCGCCGCTGTCCAATGAAGATCCCGCGGCGGTGACTGCCAGGGGCCGGGGTCTGTCATGGCCCCCGCGGGGACTGTGAGGGATGAGGGACAGGGACTGTGAGGGATGAGGGATAGGCGGCGTCTCTTTCCCCCCGGGCTGCCCAGATCTGTATTCCTGAGAGCACCACAAGTAACCTGAAGAATAAACTTTATCCCCCCGAGTTCACGTCTGTCAGGCGCGGGTCAGCCCAGTGGGTGTCCAGGAGCCCCGAGGGGGCTGTTTTGAAACATCAGATCGCAAAGGAGTTCCCCTAAGCCGCGCTGTTAACGTGACTGATTTTACGGCGCCATAAAAGTGATAATGAACCTCAGCTGATGAAGATGCTGATGTTGTACATGCTGAGTTAATTGATTACTTGTGAGTTGATGACATCTGAACATGATGGCCCTTGAACGCTGCACCACAGCCGTGCCCTCCCCCTCTGCCCAGGCAGTGATATGGATGCCCTCGGGACAGGAGGATTTGGTTTTCCAGCAGGAAACACGGCAAAATGCTGAATTCCATGCTGTTATAAATGAGAGACAAAAGTCTCGATATTCAAAAAAAATTAGATTGCTTTATTTGATATAGAAAGAGCAAGCATCGCACTGGGGAACGTGAGGGGTCACCACCCAACCCACGCTCCACCCAACCTTGGTTTGCAGCCTCTTCTTATACTGTGGTTTCTCGTTGTAATCAATAATTTTTGGGTTTTTTGCTGTCATAATTTTGCCAGGTAAGCAGTGGTGGTCGAATAAACATCCTTACACGAATTCACAAAGCCTCCGGGCGATAATCAGTCACAGGTAGCCATCTGGTCCTTGTAGATAACCACCAGAGAAGTTCTGGAAGTCTGGTTCTTGAGATAGGCAGTATTGATCAGACAAAGGCAGGAAAGGCTATTGGGAAGTCTGATTTTGCAAGCTGGGAGCCAATACAACTTATTTGGAAAACGTAACATAATATAATGTAACATAATATAACAAGGTGGTTTTAAACAGAATGATTTTATCATATAATTTCCTTTATCTAGTGTCCATGCTTCACTTCAGAGCTTGGTATTCTGGTTTATACAAACCCCAATGCTTTTGTGATTAACACGAATCTTTTACCAATTATCACACAGGCCATGCTCACAGTGACGCTCTGTCCCTCGCAGGAGCTGGCACAGCACAGTGGTGGAGTGGCTGTGCCCTCACAGGCAGCCTTGTCCCGGATCCCAGCCTTACCTGGCCTGAGCAGCTCCTTTATTTCTGTGTAGGGATTGTCCAAGTCCATGAATAAATCTGCAGTCCCAACTGCTTCCCTGCACAAAGCAAATGAGGGGCTGGTGGAGGGAGATGCAGTGGGATCACCAGTGCTGGGCTCTCTGGTGTGGCACTGGTGAGGATGGATGAGGGGACACTTGGCCTTCCTGCTGCTGGGCATATCTGACACCATCTCCAGCACCCCCAGGTCATTCTCCTCCAGGCTCATTACCTGGAGCAGTGACCTCCATGTGGGTTCCCTCCTGCCCTGAGTGGCTCAGCCAAAGGACTGATTTGAATCAAGAATGGGATTGAGTGTGACAGTGAGTCTGGGTCTGGGTCCACCACAAGCTGGGATGTGCCCAGCCCACTGTGGGAAGAAGGAGCAGCTGGAACTGCAAGTCTGGGCCAGGCTGTCCTGTAACCTCCAGGACAAGTGACCTGCCCAGGAACACCTTCTCAGGCTCTAATTTGGCAACTGGGATCACACTGGATCTAAATCCAGAAGATCTATGATTTCCTGGCTGCACTATGACTGAGAGCACAGCAGAGCTGTGATTTGAGGCTCCAGAGGGGTGTGCTGTGAGTTGGATGTGTCCTCATGGAGCTCATCATATAATAGAGAACAGCCCTTGAGACATGGAGAACTGCTGCTTCTCCTGGCAAGGACTCCAGAAGGGATCTCCGACCCCCCCTGAAAGGTTGCCATATGCCCTGCAGATATTTTGGAATGAAATCCATCATAAAAAGAATGTCTTTCCAAAAACTGAGGAATGTCCTGATTGCTCTGTTTGAAATGTGCCACTGCTCTCCGAGTAGTGCAGACTTGGACTTCCTGACAGCCATGACCTGGAGATGGCATCAACTGGCCAGTGACTGTCACCAGAGTCCCCTGTGTCCTGGTGTGCACAGCCTGCTTGAAGGGACAGCAAGTCCTTATGACATCCAGGGAAAGAGGAAGGAAAGGGGTGGAGCCATGGGTCGCATCCAAACCTCCTCTAAAGTAGGGAAGACTGTGGATCACTGCTGCTCCCTCCTGGATCTGGGTAATTACAGACATTCCCATCTTGCAGGAGGAGGTGGGGGTGATGACACATGTCCAGAGCAGCCCTGACTAGTCCTGCAGCTCCACACACTGCTCCAGGCCAGCACGGCTCTTCAGCCAGGAAGAAAACTGGGTCATTTGTGAGCTGGATGAAACACCACCGAACCTGCGTCAATCCCACCTCATCCAGGATGTAGGAAAGCCTCAGATATATCCTCAAACAATTCTCTGCACCCAAACCCGCCAGACTGCATCACTGCCTGAGCCAGAGATGCCCAAGAATCCAAAGTATGTGGGGCATGTCCAAGCAGGGAAGGAGAGCCAGGAGCCCCTGGTACAGTCTTGGCACACTGTCCCCCACAGTCTGAGTCCAGCTGTGCTCCAACAGCAGGACTCTGTGACAGATACTTGAAGACCAGAGATTTCCCTGGCCCCAGCTGGCTTCACCACCACCCAAACCCCTCTCCACGTGCTGAATCGAGCTCCTCTGCAGTAAAGGGAAGCACAGCTCAGTGTATGGGAGCTGGCTGGTCAATCTGCTTGGAAAACCATGATTCACTCCAGCCTCATTTTCCCAAATAATTCCCTGTTCCTGCTACCACCTACCCCTGTGTGGGACCTAGGAAGGGACATCAAGCAGGGCGATGATTTGAACTGATTGTGAAACGATGTGAAAGAGCAGAAGCACACAATGAAGCCTTGCTGCAGGCAGCAGCACCCCAGCTTGTCACTGCAGGGACAGCCAGCTCCTGCCATAGTCCTTTGGCTGTGGCCTTTCATTGTGCTCCGCTGGGAACATGGAGCTCTGGCACCACACCAAGCCCTGGAGGGCTCCACAGGACCAACTGATCCCTGACCACATCCCTCCCGCAGCTTTGGCTGCTGTTCCCTCATTCCCATGTCATGCTGTCAGAGGGATGACAGCATCCATATCCTGAACAGGTGGGAAGGAGTTTGCACTTCCCCGGCCTCCAGAACCTGTCAGGAAGACTCAGGCAGGGCACAGAGAAACCAGGGAGTCCCTGCAGAGTTTGCCAAAGGAATGAGTGTAGTGGGGCTGGTGTAAGCTCTGAGATAAAGGACCTAACAGGGAAAATGGGAGGGCTGGAGGTGCTGAGTTGGCTCTGAGAGCATCAGGCTGAAGCTGGGTGGCAGGAGTAGGAGTGCAGAGGGACACAGCCAGCTGTGGGCAGCTGTGGCACAGGAAAATGTTTCTGGAGCTGTCAGGGCACTGAGACCAGAGTGTGTGAGTTTGGTCCTAATCTGTCTGCTGAGGCCAAACCTCACCTTTCCCGTGTCCAGTGCTGGGCCTTTTATGACAAGAGAGCCCTGGAGGGGCTGGAGCGTGTCCAGGGAAGGGAAGGGAGTTGGGGAAGGGGCTGGAGCCCCAGGAGAGGCTGAGGGAGCTGGGAAAGGGGCTCAGCCTGGAGAAAAGGAGGCTCAGGGGGGACCTTGTGGCTCTGCACAACTCCCTGACAGGAGGGGACAGCCGGGGGGGTCGGGCTCTGCTCCCAGGGAACAGGGACAGGAGGAGAGGGAACGGCCTCAGGCTGGGCAGGGGAGGATATTGGGAACATTTCTTCCTGGAAAGGGTTTTCCAGCCCTGTTACAGCTGCCCAGGGCAGTGCTGGAATCCCCATCCCTGGAGGGATTTAACAGCCATGTGGATGTAGCACCTGGGGACATGGGTTATTGGTGGCCTTG